CCGCTCCTCTGGGCGCCGCGCTCCTCGCTCCCCGCAGCCTGGGCGCGGGACCCGAGGCGGTTTTGTGTCTGGGTCTGGGGGGACGAGGCCGACTTTGCTGCTGCCTCCCCCCCCTCCTCCGCCCCCCAGCCGGGAGTTGAGGGCCAATCACTCCCCGGCCCCGACACCTTCCACTGAGCTGAGCGCAGCAGAGACACGGCTCTCCGTCTGGGCGAGTCAGAAGCAAACAAAAATGTTTAACACCTCAGGCCCGGCCTCCCCCCCGTGGCAGTCGCGCCCTCTCGCTTTCTTTTCTTCCCTTTCACTTGGCTGCGTCTGGAGTCGGAGCCCCGAGCTGGGGCGCCGACGTAGGCGGTCTGCACCCCCCCTTCGCCCGCTTGCAGACTCCCCAGTTTCTGCCCTGTGTGCCTCCTGCCTCTGTCTGTCTCCCTCGGTCTCCGTCTCCACTCCCCGCGCCTTCTCTCGCTTTCCCTCCCTCTTTTCTCTCTCCCTCTCTCGGTTCACGGAATAAAAAAAAAGATTGCAACATCGATAATGAACTTCTGTAGCCTCAGTTTATGAAGCACAGTGCCTGGCATTCTTTGCTGAAAGTTGGCGGGTCTCTCATTTATAACATTTTTGGCACCGCTGAATGAAACTGTGGAGGCGATATTTCCTTTTATATGAAACGGTTACTTCACGGAAAATGCGACATTGTTTATCCCAAACCTGCCTTTTTAATTTCCATTCTTTGGGCGTCTGAAGCCCGAAGGACAACAGACAGCGAAGTATGCAGACAGAATTCTTGGACATTTGCAGGTCACCGGGATTTGTTCTCCTAGGGATTGCAAATCTGCCCCTCTTCCCCACCCCTCGGTTCCTCTGCCAGCCCCCCCAGTCCCAGTCCTCGTCGCCTCTCCCTCCCGCCCCCTCATCTTCCACCAACCCCCCCATCTTCTCCACAACTGCAAATAACTCAGTGATAACAGATTTTTTTCCACCAACTGCAGGAGATAGTGCTAATCTTTTAATAAAAGATCCCATTACAATGGGATCTGTCTGGACAGACTATAATAGATCCCGAAATACAGCCGTGCTAATATTAGAAGACAGTTGTTTGGGTGCCTCTCAGACGGGCCCAAGCCCCCCTTTGAAAGTGGGCATGAATCACAAAACCCCGCGGCCGCCGCACCTGCACCGCGCGCATTCGGTGCAGCAGGCTGGTAAAAACCGGTGACCTCGCCGCTGCTTTTCGCTTTATAATTACCGTCGTGAGGACGGGAGGGAGGGGCGCGGGCGGCCGGGGGAGGGAGGCTGGCTTTTTGCTCACTTCAGACGGCTGGGGTGGGGGGAGGCTCCACATCCTTCTTAATCTTTCCAGATTCAGTCCCTCGCGCGCGGGGTCCCCCCTCTTTCCCTCCCGTCCGCCCACCCTGCCTCTCTCTCTCCCCTTCCCCTCCCTCATCCCCGACTCGCTCCCCTCCCCCCTTCTCCCTCCCTTCTTTTCCCATCTCCCTTTCTCAAGATCTTCCCTCCAAGGCAGCACTAATGTGGGGTTGTTTAGTGCCCTCTAATGGCAGACGACATTAACAATTAATAGCAAACTGTCCCCCTTGGAGGAGCCGCCACTCCATGGCAGAGTTCCAAAGCCGAATTCATTTGTTCTTTATTCAGGGAGGTGGATACACTTCTATAAGGTAATGTGCTGAGGGAAAGTTGTCTTACCCTCTTTAAGTTCCACTGGCATCCCGGCGACTTGGGGAAAACTCGGTCTAAGGGAGGAGGAAATGAAGACTTTTTTTCTTACTTGACTCTTTTCCTTTTAAGATATTTAATAGCAGAGACACAGCTTTTGTTCAGGCGGAATACAAACCATGAGACTAGGTTTGCAAAAATCATGTCTAACACATAAAAGATCTTAATAGGAAATTGGATTTTATGGTAGTGCTACCATGGGCATTACAAAAATTTGAATACCCAAACATGCTTAAATGATTTAATATGTGCCCTTTGTTTAAATGCATCTCTTGGACCAGAATCCATTCACTGTGAAAGTTTGGGGGATTTTTTTTTTTTTTTTTACACTTTTGGCCTTAGGATCGTATCTACTGATTTGCTGCAGTGAAGTGCATTTTGCTGTGGCTACTGGTGGATTGTATCCTTTCTCCATACCCATTCAGTCTGTATGCTGAGCAAATTATCTGAGAAGCTGGATTCTTTGAAGAGGAGTGTGATACCAGGATCAGAGGGAGACTCATGTATAACCTCCATTATGCTGATGACTCACCTTTGCTTGCTCAAAGTGAGGATGATTTGAGGTGCCTGCTGCAAAAGATCAAGGACTACATCCTTCAGTATGGATTATATAGCAACATCAAGAAGACAAAGGCCCTCACCACAGGCCCAACAGTAGGATAGATGGAGAAAAGGTTGAAGCTGTCAGTGATTCCATCTTACTTGGATCAACAATCAACACCATTGGTACCAGCAATCAGGAAATCTAACTGTTTGAGACATGCTGCATTGGGTTAGTCGGCTGTCGGGAACCTCTCCAAAATACTGAAGAGCAGTGATGTCAGTTTGAAGACCACGGTGCACCTGATTCAGGCCATGGTCTTCTCAATCACCTACCAAGCATCAGAGAGCTGGACAATGAATAAGGATGACAGAAGAAGAATTGATGCCTTTGAGTTGTGGTGCTGGATAAGATGACTCATTATCCCATGGACTGCCAAAAGAACAAACAGATATGTCCTGGAAAGAATGCAGACAGAGTGGTCGGTCCTTGGAGGCAAGGATGATAAAACTTCGTCTTTCATACTTTGGACATTAAGTTGGTTGGTGAGACTATTTATTCATTGGAGGGGGAAATCATGCTTGGAAAGATGGAGGGTCGGCAAAGGAGAGGAAGACTCCCCAGGAGATAGTTTGACACTGAGACTTCAGCAGTGGGGTCTAGTCTCAGAGATGAAGAGGATGGCGCAAGATAAGGCAGGTTTCAGAATGGCTGTTTATAGGGTCGCTATGAATTGTAGTCAATGGCAACAGCAACTGGTGGATTCAAATTATTAATCTTCAGTTAGCAGTTGGATATATTACTATACTGTGCCACCAGGGTTTCTTAAGACACACACATACGCACATCCACTCAACACAAAACAACAACAACAAAACATTAAAAAGCTCTTAAATTTACTATCACAGAATCGGTTCAACTCATAGTAACCCTCCACAAGTTTCGAGGCTGTACCTCTTATAGCCAGACCATTTGTGGATCCCAATAGCCAGAGACCCACAGCCTATGGTTAGTAACTCAGCTTATAAATTTTAGTCATGCACAGTTATACACAAAGCTGCCTTCCTTGAGGAATATAGGGTTTTACTCTGCATTTTGATTCACAATGGCAGGTCCATAATTTTCCTGTATTTTATAACTACATAATAAAATAATGTTGTAACTTGCATATTTTCTTTGGACTTAAATATTGTTCATTTACTCATGCACATGCTAATAAAAAAAGAAAGGTACAGGTACTATGGAGCTGTGTGGTTAAATGCAACTTATAACAGAAAATTTCTTAATATACATATGATTGTTGTTATGTGCCGTTGAGTTGCCTGCAACTCACAGCAACCCTATGTACAACAGCCCTAAACCCTGCTCTATCTTGTGCCAATTTTATTGTCTCTGACACACCTACCACCATTACCCCAGTCACGGAATCAATCCATCTCATTAAAACTCTTCCTCTCTTGCGCTGTCCCTCCACCCTCCCAAGTATGCCGTCTTCAAAGTCTGGTCCCTCCTTGCTACATGTCCAAAGTATTTCAGATGAAGCTTCAGAATCCTTGTCTCCAAGGAGCAGCCCGGTTTTACCCTCTTTAGGTCAAACATGTTTGTTCTCCAGATTATTCGGTTTTGTATGTAGAGGCAACTGATGTCATATAAATTTTGTAGATCAATTTAATCCAAGATATATTAACAGAATTCCAATATGACTTGGATATATATACTGTTGTTATTGTGTACCATCGAGGTGGTACCAACCCATAACTGACCCCCAGGGGAGGTTTCCGAGGCAGTTATCCCACTGCAGGACATTGCCTATCTTTTTCCCTCAGAGCAGCTGATGGATTCGAACCACATGCCTTCATGAAGCACAGCTTGCCACTAGATCACCAGAGCTCCCTGGATATAGATATAAAGATGTAGAGATATATATATATATATATATATATATATAGCCTATATTAAATATTTATATAGTCCATATTATATATTTATGTAGCTTATATTATTATATAT